GGGTGGGGGGGCAGCTGGGTGTACAGGGACTTGTCAGAATACTCTGGCTGAAGTGTTGCTTTCATGCAGACTTGGCAAAGAGGTCCGTTTCAGGAAAAATGAAGGGGAAGGTGCCGAGTTCGATTCCGACATGTCTGTTCCTCACAGGCAAACCAGCCCAAGAGGGGTCAGCTTCTCCATGTATCAGCAAGGAGGCTGAGGACACAGGGGTCTCGATCACAGACTCTCTTCTGTGGCTGCTTCATAGAAGGCTCAAGACGCTCAATTTTAACGTGACTGCATCTGCACGGAATCCGATTTCCATTGCACTCTGTCAGAAAGCAAGGCTGTTCGCAAGTGGGCACTGGTCCAAGGGAACTCAATGGAGGCTTCGCCCAGGTGAGGACTCTACAAAGGGATGAGGGGCTCTCCCTGTCCCATGCAGAGCCTTCTGCAAACTGGAGAAGATGCACATGTTCTCATGAGAAGGTCTCCACTTCCCCGAACAGAGCCCTGACACCACAGGCGGCACAGAATCAAGTTGGATAAACCGTGCTCTACACTGCACAGGGATTCAGCCCCTCTCCTCTCACACAGCAACAGCAGAAAATGTTCATAGAGTAATTCTCAGTGCCAAGTAAAACAGCCTCCCACAGGTAAATGCTGCCTGCACTCCCCCAGCTCAGACGAAAGTCACCTTTCCTTGTGAGAGGGGCACAGACATGAACTGACGGCTCTCAGAGCCCACACCCTCGAGGGCATCCGCGTCCCAAGCAGGAGCCTGGCTCCCGGGCCATCCAGGGCTCAGCCCAGAGCCGGTCACCTTGGCGGACCTGCAGCTCGAGGAAGAGCCATGGGGAGGCGCAAGAACATAGATGAGTTCCTACGAGGAGACAGCCTGGGGGGCCCGGGAGAGTAATGGAGACTCCGGGCCTGGGAGAACGCCATCACCCTCAGAGCCACAGCCCAGCCCCTCCCCCGGAGGACTCAGCTGCCCACCCAAGGGGGGAGATTTGTTAGAAAGACCCTGGGGCCCACGTCCCGTGGAGCAGACGGTGAGGGACACGGGTCCTGAATTAATAATGAAATATGGGAAGAGGGTCCCAGAGAAGGGAGCCTGGGAGAAGGAGAAAACGTGGGAGCCATCAGTCATGTTGTAGAAGGAGACATCCCCACCATCGTAGTCCAAGAAAACCCCCAGCCTGCGGGGAACCTCTCTAAGAGTTAGCAGTGTCAGAGGGATGGTACAGACACAAAATTCTTCTGAAAAATGTCCCACAGCCCAGAACCCCCTTTCTGGGCACTCTCTGAACCAGCCTTCCCTGTCTGCATGTTCCCTGCAGACCCCCATGGCCCAATCACTTCTGTCTCCGTCCCTGACCTCCACCTCCCAGTGACAGCGCCCTGATGTGATGCCCTGAAGGCCTAACACACTGCATCTCTCATTGCTGACTTCATCACCGAGGGCCTTCAGAGTGATGCTTGTGTTTTCCTGAGAGAACACAAGGTTGGGATGAGCAGAACGCAGATCCAACGTGACAGAGCCTGTAAAGAGAGTTACCAAATTATGCAAACCCCTCCCCTCCCCCATAACACGAACACAAAACCATGGGGAGGGCAGGGGGGGGGGGAAGGACCATAAACTGAAAGCCAGAGACTGAAGCTCTCAGCCATCAGAGAGGAAGGAACAAAGATTGATTGAGGGTTAGATCTATGAGAACTGGTCTGGACTCCCGGGGCTCGGGGTTATGTGTTTAGCATTTAACATCCACCACTCCCTCCAGCCCCACTGACAGGCCTGTGCCCTCCTCTCCCACCCACCCCACCAGGTCGGCTGACTGCATCTTGATCACCACAGGGTATTGACAGAGAGGCCAGAAGGCAGGGCAGCAAGAGAGGCTCCTAGGACGAGCCGCCGAGTCACTCACAGGCCGGGAACTGCTCCTTCCGCCAATCTACGAAAGAACCCCAGATTCCAGGTCAGACAAATGCGAGACTCCACACATCAGGACCAGCAACTTTGCATAAAAACATGCAGGAGTTACAAGGGGAAATGTTGTTAAACCTGGAAACTGGGATATTTGTTTATCTCTTTCTCTCACCAACCCACAAACATCAGCCTTTGCAGGAAGCCAAAACCTATAGGATCCTTAGGGCCAGAGGTTTCCAGAACCAAGGGCTCCCTGAGGAAAACCTGAGTCCCAAGCAGGTAGCTGTGGTCTCTAACGGCTTATGGAGACCAGCAATTCTCCCTCTACATAGTCATTGCACAGCGCCGGTCCTTCCGGCCGTCTGAACGCTCCACTGTCACCAGTAACACTAAGTAGAAGTATCCGGAGAGCATGTTTGCAAAAGGCGCTGCTCATTTTAACGGTGACCTGCAGTAGGGAAAGGCTCCCGATAGACAGCAGCTAAGAGGGCCTGCGGTCCAAAGGATCGGCACTCTGACTCGTAGCTTCCCTGTGGGACAAGCAGGACAGCCTCATAGCGTTTCAGAGACTGTAACTCTGTAGACTCTGACTCCCCCATCTTTCTCCAGCGGAACAACTGATGGTTCAAAGTGCCAGCCTTGCTTAACCCACGGTGCTACCATGCTTCTTGGTCTTAGGATAAAGGCTACAGAAGGGACCAGGACAAACGCGATGACAGTCCTAACCTAGTGTGGGGTCCACTGAGAGAGGAGAGGCCAGCCAGGCCACAGGAAATCGGTCACCGACGCATCACAGTCACTCACCTGCATACAGCTGGGCCTTACTCCAGGCTGAAAAGGAACACACACCCCAGTGAGACCACAGCCAGGATGGCCACTAATCATCTGGCCACCACGCCCCCTCAGTCCGGAGGGAGTGTGTGCACGGGGAGTCCGATGGAGAGAAAGAAACAAAGTCCTGCCATAGGGATAGCTGGCCAGGGAGTGTGGGCTCTCCCCAGGAGCACAGGCCAGGAAGCCAGAGGGACAGCTCAGGGGTCACAGGTCCTCCTGCTGCGGTGGGACTTTGGGTAAGTGGCTTCCCCATTCCCAAAAACTCCCAGTCTACCTTCATTCCGCTAAGAATCAAAAAGCATGTGGGAAGCTAATTCAGTGAGTAAAATACAAATTACTCCATAGTGGCAAGAAAGCACTATGATAACAAGTGTTTTTCTGGAAAATGCAAACTACCCGAAAAATTACCAGAAAGGGGCAAAGATATGCAGCCAAATTCAGGGCCAAAGTAGACTACCGTCTGTTGGGGGGAATCTTTCAAGTGATACTAACACCGCTATTGTACAGAGCTCTGGGCTCCTATGACCACACTCCCTCCCTGTTCACCCCAGGGCTCTCCCCATCAGACGTTTAATCAGCCCCTTCAGGGCCTAGACAGAACTGACACCTCTCAGAAGAGGATTCTAGGAAGCCAGTGGGGGCACCCCTAAACCTCATGACCTCATTAATTTATGCAGCTCCTTTCGTGGAATCCCTGAGCAGCCACCGTCTGGCTTCCGGCTGTAGACTGAGAGCCGCTGCGCCGAAGGCCAGAGCCCGAACAATAGGGTGCACAGGCCGAGCAGAGATGAGAGGCCCAGGAGCAGGGCAGATTCATCCAGGAGAGCCCCAGGTTGGGATTCCTCCTCCCCCCACCTTCCACTTCTACCCCCCAGGAAATAGAGTCCTTCTGTCTATGCCAGAGAGACACGGGGAGAGGGGACATCCCACCTGGGCTCAGCGGGGCTGGGAGACCCAGGGGAGACTGGAGACTCACTCACCAGCCTGGTAAACCGTCTTCCTCCTTTCTGAAAGGCAACACACAGCAAAGAGGTGAGCTCACTGCCAGTGTCTTCCCCACACTGGACCCTGAGCACTCAGGGGGGGGAACTTACTCAGCTCTGCCCGGAGTCCACCTGAAAGAAAGGAAGAAAGCATGAACTTCCATCTCTAAGAAAAGGAAAGGTGGTGAGCTGAGAACCCACACATTGACCTCCTCTGTAGCCTGGAGAGACTCCCCCACTAGAACCGTCCACGCTTCCAGGGCCCCTGCTGCCCTCTCAGGATCTCTGCTCAGGGCAGAGGCCCTGTGGTCTCTGGCTGCCACAGTCCCAGTGCTGCGCCTGCTGTCAGCTTTCGCTCAGCACCGCTCCTCCCTCACCCAGCCTCGCCCTTCCCCTGCCTTACCTATGCGCCTGGCCCTTCCCCTGCCTTACCTAT